ACAATAACTCAAAAGGACTACGATTTTGCTCATACAGTTTGGAAAGAAACTGCTTGTAAAACCTTTGGTGATTATCATGATATTTACCTCAAAACGGATGTTCTTATATTAGCAGATGCATTCGAGGCATTTCGAAAAGCATCTTATTCAGCATTCAAATTAGATCCAGCAAATTATTTAACCACACCAGATCTTGCATGAGATGCGTGTATGAAGGTAACAAAGGTAAAATTAAAATTATTTAACGAGCATCAAGGAGATATGCATGACTTCTTTACTGCAATGAAAAGAGAAGGAATGTCCTTAGCTAGAAGATGTATAGCTAGAGCAAATATTCCCGGATTAGAAGGGTACAATGGAAAAAAAGCGAAAAAATGGCTGTTATATTTAGATGCTAATAATCTTTATGGCTGGGCAATGTCTCAATATTTACCAACCAAAGGATTTAAATGGCTATCAACAAAACCTTTGAAAGCATCCCACCCTTTAGTGCAGAAAATTTTAAAAATAAAAGAAAATTCAAATCGAGGATGTTGTTTGGAAGTTAAGTTATCGATTCCAAAAAAATTATATCCCAAATTTTGAGACTATCTAATGTGTTCAAAATAAAAGAATGTACCATATGATTGGTATAGTTCAAAACAAAAAAAATAACGTTCAGATACAGAAAAACTTGTACTAACTCTCCATGATAAGGACCATTATGTTATTCATTATAGAAATTTACAACAATGTATAAAGGAAGAATATGTTCTTGAAAAAGTATATCGAATTTTAGGTTTCGAACAATCACCATGGGTGGAACTATACATTGCAATGAATACTCAACGACGTGCAAAAGCAAAGAATATCTTTGAAAAAGATTTCTGGAAATTAATGAATAACTCAGTATTTGGAAAAACTATGGAAGATATAAGAAAACAAGTGAATATAGATTTAGTTAGACAGGTAGGTAAAGAATGGAGGTTATGTAGATTAATATTAGATCCGGCATTTGTTAGTAGGAAAATTTTCTATGGAGCAAATTTGGTAGCGGTACATCGAAGACAAACCAATGTAAAACTAAATAAGCCAGAATATGTTAGAGCATGTATTCTTGATCTTTCTAAATACTTTATGTATGACTTCTGGTACGGATATCTCAAAAAAAAATATGGAGATCGGGTAAGGCTTTTATATACTGATATAAATTCTTTAATTATAGAAATTGAAACCAAAAACATTTATCAGGACATGATCAATAATTGCGATTTATTTGATTTTAGTGATTATCCCGAAGACCATTGGGTGATAAAAAATCTTCTAGAAGATCAGTGGATAATTAATGATGAAGGTAAGCATGTCTTAAAAAATACAAAAGTTATAGATAAGTGGAAGGACAAAAATGGAGGAGATCGTGTTATTGGCTATGCAGGAGTTCACGCAAAATGTTATAATGTTGTCTGTGAAAATTCATGAAAAAATATGATAAAGGCTAAAGGTCTAAAAAAGTCTCTTATCAAGAAAGAGCTTACCCATAAAATATTTGAGGACTGTATTTTAGAAGGAAAAGAGGATTAGCCACGAACTACACAATTCCTCCGAAGTTACAGACATCAAATGTATAGAATAAAGCAAACAAAGAAGAGCATTAACCCATTAGATACGAAATTGTGGATAGCTCGTGATATGGAAACAATATATTTATATGGTGATTGTGAAATTCTGGAAGAATAAATATAGCTTTGCTTCATAATATTTTAATATATCTATCCACTATATGACCACCTTTGACAATAATATATATAATTTTTTACTTATGCAATTATTAGCAAAAATATAAATAAGATCGAGCAATCCCTTACCATACTAAATAATTCATGAATGAACGGATCGCCAAATCCGAAATAAGATTTCATAAAATCTGCAAATTGGTTTGTTAATACAGAAATATATTATAAAATAGAATAAATGAATAATAAATTTCAAAGACTTATCTGGTTAAAGTTCGGGTAAATGTATTGATTTAGATATTATATCCGTTTATTTTTTAGCTATCAAATAATTCTGGGTAGTAAAAAAATAATATATAGTCAGGTAAGTATGAAATGATAAGAAAAATTTTTATCATTAACCAACTCATCGTAATCTATACTATGAGTAATGAACCACTTAGTGAAGGAGAACTTACCAAAAAATACCCCAAACGAGCAGAATTATTAAAAGCCTTAGGAATAAATATCTTAAAAGATCATCCAAACTCTCTCGCAAGTAATATCACAATACCGGAGCTAGAGAATTGTCATAAATGTAATGAAGAAATTTTGATAAATCTACCCAAAGCATTTACCATACTCGTGTGTGGTCATATACTCCATTATGACTGTCTTGAAAAAAGTAATAAAGATAAGCAAAAAACTTGTCCCATTTGTTTCGTAGATAATGAAGGAATGGCATCAGCTAAAGTTCAGGACGTAGATATGTCAGAGGCAGTGGAAGATGAAGATGAAGAAACCTCTAATCTAACAGGGCGATAAGTAAGTTATCCGTAGATGGTGGTAAAGCTATCTCATGAAGTGAAACAAAATCTATGGAACCTGATAAAGTACAAGGTTTAATAAAAGAACTATCTATGCCAAGTGAGCCGATTGATGATAACGATAGAGGAAATAAGAGCAAAGAATCAAAACCAATAACTTTACTCCAGTTATACTATAATGCAAACCGGGCAGAAAAACGTGTAACCCGTGCCTACCAAGAAGAAATAAGATGCTGGTATCTGTTTGCTAAAAAATTTGAAGAAAGAGTTAAAGAAATAAAAAATAATAACAGTAGGTACAATGATCAACAAGCTAGAGAGTTAGTATATAGCGAAGTCGCAACCAATCTTCTGGGATTTACAAGAGATAGTTTGCGCAAAAAAACTGCAAAGGCTAGAAATATCTACAAGTTGTTTGGAGAAATTTATGACCCCGATACCAAAAAAATAGTTAAGGGAATAGGAATTGAAAAAATTGAGAGAATTCGAATATATAGTGCTGATTATATTTCAAAGCTCAATTCTACACAAATTTATAATATTATAAAGCATTTTAATTAGTGCAGATCACGTCCCCCAAGTTGACGCCAACATGACATAAATATTTTTTATTAGTAAATCATATATAAGTATAATTATATAATTAAATTTATACGTATTAAAGTTTATACATACCAATAAATGCTTGTTAAATATAGGCATTCAATCGGATATCGACCTAAGGATTATGCGTAAGACAGGGCACAAACACATTGCAGGTTTGAATGATAAAAAATTTTTTAGCCACGTATAATTATTTTTCTATTAATACAACAATGATAAAAAATCATAACAATACATATACAAATAAAAGAAGTCGAAATTATATCGAAAAGTGGCATATCTTTAAAGGGTGGAAGCACAGGTGTAAGGTTTGTGACGAATGCAATCATCATTCACACCTATATTGCAAAATCTGCAAAAAAGTAGCAAAGGGAATATATAAGCGATATGAATGTGAAAATTATAGAATAATTAAAAATAAATTAGAATTAACAGTTTGATAATATTAATTCATTAAAATTAAGACCTGGTGTGACTTATTATCTTCAGAAGAGATTCATGATATTATCGCTTCCCAATGCCGTACAAGTTTTACCAAAGAAGTATCACATATCATATGCACGCATCTTGTGACAATAAATGCTTGGAATATGTAATACCAATTCGTTGTATCTTATTATCTACATAGCAAAGAAATTCATTAATATGATAGAATTAAAATACATAAATCTGAATAAGCGATAATAGTTTATCAGTTTATTATTACGTATCAGTGTCCGCATTTATTAGCGTAACTATCATAGTGGAATAGAAAGAAAAGAAGACCCTAGAAAATATTGTAAATTTTTAACTGATCGTGAGAGGCTAGTCGGTAAAGAGTTATTATGTCGCAGTATACTAAAAAGTGGTTTGAGTACTGCATGGCTCGATGATCTTATGGAAGAATGAGAGAAAATCCATACTCAATTCATACAAATTTTTAATTAGGTATAACCAGGTACAAATGCCCTACTTCGTAAAAAATAATTAACACTTTGCTAGTTATATATTACAGTTTTAGTCAGAT